TTGATCCCAGAGTAGTAAAAATAAAAAAGACTCTGGGCATAACAAAGTGCCCCAGTTATCTGCACCGGGCAGGGCTTCCTGCTGGAAAGTGAGCCCCAGGGAGAGGCAGCTCCACCCAACCTCAGGTCAGGTGGCCCACCTCCCCTGGTCTGGAGCATGGAGCTGCCTGCAGAGGACAGGAAGTTCCTGGGGACTCTAGAGACCAGGGGCCTGCTCCTCAGCCCAAGCATGTGCCCACAGGGTCAGAAATCTGCTGTTATTGTCTACCCACACATCAGCCAGTCTCTTTTCAGAGTTGAGTTTTTGTTCTAGGTTTTCTCCCATTTGATGCAGAGATGGCCCCCACACACACTCCTTTCATTTGTAGGTTTAGGTCATTTGCTTAATTTGCACAGGATGGATCAACACAAGTAGAGTGAGTAGGTGTCTCACCAGCTGGTGCTGAGGTGCCCCAGCATCTGAAGGCAGGCTTGGCATAAACCTTACCTGGGGGGACCTAGGAGGGATGGGAATAGCCATTGGTTTAGACTCAACAGATGTGAGTTCCAGTGCCATTTCAGTCACTGATTATTGCACAGTTCTTGACTTCCCTGGGTTGATGGATGAGAAAGTGCATTTTTATAAAGGGGTTTATGGTCACAAAACGTTCTATTACATAAAGAAAGCCCATTCAACTGCTGACGGCATGATTCGTCATCTTGTCTTGTCCAAACCTCTCATAGGCACGTTCTCCACCAGGGAACTTCTGTCTGGAAAAGAAGTCAAAGCTCCCCTCTGAATATGTCCCTCTGCTGCAAACAGCCTTTCATAGGACTCATTGCCATTACCTTTGACCAGGGCTGGCATTCAGCCTCTGTACCCCAGCACAGCCATGTCTGTTGTTAAAATGCTGAAACACTTAGTGCCTGCTGCTAACTAGTCGCTGCCCTCAGCGCCCCCTCCTGCCACGATCCATCAGCTAAAAGATACTTCCAGCCCAGCAGGAGTGCGTGTGGACCCTGCTGCAGCACAAATCTGATTCCCTTCTGATTTTTCACACCACACCTGCCTTTCATTTATTACAGATATAAGATGTGTAAGGAACAGAAGAGCTAAATATCCAAATAGAATAAATAATATTATTTATCAGTTAACCGCCTTTTTCTTGAGGCTCGGTTCCAAATGACTTCTGGCTCATAAGGTGAAGAGTTTTTCCCCACATGTATCATAATTCACGAAAACTTTAATACTGCTGGATATCAGATGATATTAAGGAATTATTACGAGTTTTTAGATGTGATAATGATACTACGTTTTTTAAAAGAGTCTATTTTAGAGATGCATGCTAAAATACTTACAGGTGAAACATAGGAATGGAAGGGATTTGTTTCAAAATAATCTACAGAGAAGAGGGCAGGGGGCTAGGTGTCAGAGGGAGCTGGTGATGAGTGCATGGGCTTCTTTATACAATTCTCTCCATTTGGGGGAATGTTTGAAATTCTTCAAAATAAAAAGTTGGGCAAAATCGTTTTCAATCAGTCTATACTTGTAACTATCCCTGGTAGATGGGAGAAATAACAAATGGACTCAACCTGGATGAGAACATGGAGAGACCCAGGAGGATTCAGAGTCCGACCACTAACCTTGTTGCTGAGGACAATCCTTCATTTTGTCCTGTGTCCCAGTTTCCTGTCTGTGAAACGCACAAAATCATAACCTCCACACACATTTCCAACAGGCTAGGAGGAGCCTAAACCGACAACATTTGTATCACGTTTTGAGCTCCTCAGAAGAGATGTGCCACATGAACGATGCATCTTTATAGGACCTCAGGACCCAGAGGTGTTGTGTGAAGCTCAGTTGAGATGATTCAGGATTCCCAGAATCCCCACAGATTTTTCAGAAACTACCTCATACTCAGTTCTCTAAGCCAACTGAAAAAGGAGCAGAAACAAAACACCCGCGTCGACACAGCAGGCTTTTAGCAGCTCTGTTTACTCCTCTGACACAAAGCCCTTGTTTGTGTGGGACAGATGGTGGTACATGTTTCTCTCCTTTCTCTCTCCCTTCCTCCCTCCCTCACTTCACTCGTTCCCCTCTGTTTCTTTGTCCTCCTCCATTTTTCCTTTTCTCCAATCCTTCTCTGCCTCATACCACTTTTTCTGAATTGACTCCAGGGCCAGTGAGGAGGATAAAGGCAGACAGACGCCAAGAATGCCTTCGCCCAAGCCAACTGTTTATTCTAGTTATCCCGTCGGGCTGCATGCACACAGTCGCTTCTTCGTTCACAGCTCTCATATCTGAAATGTATTTTTGAAGACAGAGTGACACACCTTTGAAACTGTAGGGGGCTCAGAGCAAACATTAAAAGACCCATAAATATTTATGTGGCAGATTTCCATGGATTGCTTTCCCAAAGTAATCACAGTCGACACGTTGGCACGCGCACACACACACGTTTCTGCTGGGCCCAGCCACTCCCAAAGAACAAATGTAGACCTAACCTCTTACTGAATGTTTACTGCAATAAGCACAGTCTATAAAGCAGCAGGGGAAGGGGGGATGTGAAGGACTGGATATGCAACAGCCTTTTCCAGATCTGTATGGAATGCTGGTTCTGCCCATCTCAGACCCAGGCAAGTGACTTGCTCTTTTCCAGCCTCTGTTTCTTCTTCTGTAAAGTGAAAGTATTCAAATACATGGATGATCTAAAGACCTCTTTCCAGCTCTAAATATCTATGATTCTGCGAGCCATCACACGAAGACTCCTGGAGAATTTCCGTAAATATCAATCTACCTCACACCCCAATGCCTGGTGGGGGCAGGGGGAGTTCTGGCAGAATAGATGTCAAACCAGGGCTTGAACAATAACCTGTGTAGCGGCAGAGGAGAGACGTTACGGGCAAGGGGAAAGGAAAAACATGGTACTAAGTTCAGTAGGGAAATAACTTGCTTATAACTAGGGTCTGAGAAGGGGAGGGGAAAGGAAAGAACTGATATAACAGATACCAAGCAGGAGCAGGCGGCAAGATCTGGCACCTGCCTGGATGGCTAGGAGAAAAGACAGCACAAAAGCAAAATTGGGCAAAAGGAGGTTGTGCCTGCTGATCCTGCTTGGTCTTCTGAAACATTCTCAGGTCTCAAACATGCTTTAAACAGAGGTGGTCTCCAAGAAACAGCATACTGGCCCTTTTAGAAGTGGCCTTAATTGAATACCTTGTTCCACACGAGCATAACAACTATCCCCCACGGCCACCCCCGCCCCCAGACAAGAAAGAGTAAAGATCCGTGCTCAGAAAAATGAAGTCGCCATTTGAAAAGTAATAGCTACATCTGCAAACGATTAACTCTAGGATTTATTACCAATTAGGACATAAATCTCTGCTTACTTTGGCTCCTGGAAAGTTGATTTCACTGGGGATGGGGGGAGGGGGCAGGGAGAAAGTCATTTGAGACAAGGATGAGAAATCCAAACTTAAAAAGGCACACTTCAACTTCAAAAGGGAGCAGGATTTCTCAAGCCCCAGAGTGGAACGCAGGCTGGACCTTGCAGTTCTAAACAAACAGCCCAGCAGATGCCTACCTGGCAGGAAGCCAAAGGGAGTGTGCCCCTCAGAAGAGGGTGTCAGCGGCCTGGATGGAGGTGGTATAACTGAGTGGCCCCCAGTGGCCAGGCCCTAGCATGGCCGGAGTTGGCACTGGGGTACATGTGTCAGGCTCTCTACGTTCCTGATCTCAGGGGTTCCCAGCCTTGGCTGACCATTGGACTCACCTGTGAAGTTGCCTAGGTCACACTGCAGACCAGTTAAATCAGAATCTGCACGAGTGGGGCTTGGGTATTGGGATGGTTCCAAAACTCCCCAGGTGATCCTCAGGTGCAGGCAGGGTTGAGAACCACTGTTCGTCTCATTTCATCCTCCCAGCAACCCCATCTTATAAGTATAATAATAACTTTCACAATTTTACAGAACAGAAAACTGAGGCACAAAGAGGCTAAGTGCCTGGTCCAGGGTTACACAGCTAACAGGGATGGAGGCAGATTTGAACCCAGATCTCACGCTTTAATCATCATGGCCTATGGCCTCCCAAGACCATGGTTCTCAGCTTTCCAGGCCCTGAGCCTTCAAGGGCTCTTCAAGGTAGAAAACGGACTCAAACTATTTTTATGTATTATTTCAAAAATATTCTAATAGAAATGCAACATTAGCCCATATTAATGCTACATATTGACTAGGGAAGCAAGTTTCTTTCCTTTGCTTGCAATGACTTCAAAACAAGGAGGTTACACTGGGCATTTCATGCTCAATCAGGACTTCTCATTCATTCGTTCAACCAACATTAAGTGGCAGTTTTCTGCAGAGTGTAAAACAGAACCACCCTGTGCAGATAATCACACAATAGGTGTTCCAAGGGCCATAAGAGTGACATATACTAGACACTCTAGGAGCCCACAGGAGAAAGTGGACAACTGTGAGTGGCAGTGACATATTATGCTTTTGGTGAGTGAAAATTGGCCGGGTAAATCATAGGATAATAAGTGCATGTTGCTAAGTGGCAAAATTAAAGATGGAGTCTCTAAGTGGAGGCCTGAAATAGTAAAATGTTATGAGAAGGTTGGGGATACACTGTTGCTCATCACAAATATTTAACCCAGGGTAGAAAATGCAAATTCCTGGCTGGCACCTACATAAGGATAGTGAGCTGGCTGTCAACAGGCGAGGTAGGGACTGAGGTGACCCAGGAGCCCAAATCCTGTCTACCGAGGCAACTAGTTCTCACCTCCAGCCAAAAGTTACCATATAGGAATGTGGATGCAGTGTTGTCAGCCCTTCTGACTTTTTTAGGGGGAGCTGTAAATATGGGTTGCTTAATGCAAGATCTCCTAATTTGTAAATGGCATCTAATCGACCAAAGAAAACACACCCGCGGCCAGTTCTGCTTTCATTGTTGAGAGTGGTCTCTCTGCTAGCCCCATGAATCCCAAAGCAACTGCTTATTCTCCTGTGCCTTTCCCCCCGCAGGTATGCTCATTTATTTCGGGTACGGCATCTGGAACAGCACCCTGGAAATCAGCGCCCGAGAAGAGGCCCTGCACCAGAGCACGTACCAGCGCTACGACATGGACGACCCCTTCTCGGTGGAGGAGGGCTTCTCCTACGCCACAGAGGGCGAGAGCCAGGAGAACTGGGGCGGGCCGGCCGAGGACAAAGGCTTCTATTACCAACAGATGTCAGATGGGAAGGCGAACACCCGGACAAGTAGCAAAGCGAAGAGCAAAAGCAAACACAAACAGAACTCAGAGGCCCTGATCGCAAACGATGAGTTAGATTACTCTCCAGAGTAGGAGGGAACACCCAAGAAATGTGTGGAATGGTGGGGATTTATTTTCAGTAACCTGGGGGCTAGAAGGTGAAAACATTTTTGGCTCTCATTTCAAAAATCCAGCCACCCCTAAAGTCAGTCCCCAGTCATACCTGTCATTTGCTACTTTTGCTCCTTGAGATAGTTCTGTCGAAGGGTTTAACCTGGGTCCCCTAACTGGTCCCCTTGTAAAAAAAAAAAAAAAAGAAACAAGAGGCTATAAGAAATTCTATCTTAGGTGCAACCGTCAGAGCTGATGGCAGCAAATGTTCCCTAGGTCTTTGCTTCGCTGATTGAATCTTTTTGCTTCTTACTCACACCCAAGAAGCAAGGAGCAAACTTTTTGGACCACCCCAAGGCTGCAGGTGGGCATGGGCACAAGGCCCGCATTTCAGCCACCCGAGACCACAAGGGCAAGCTCTGTTCTCAGCATGCCCGGCTGAGAGCAGCTCCCAGAGCCCGGAGCGGGCAGGTGGGCCTTGGTATTTCCTTGGCAAGCAACGTCTTGTCCTGAATCCCACAACACAAATTCATGGAGAAGGTCCATGCTTGTTTTTATTAAAAAGGTTCTCAGAGTCTCCAAACTATAACTTTAGGATCCAGCAAAGGTCAGGGACGCTGAGTGAGACCATCTCCCTAAAGGCTTCAGATTCACCATAAAGCAGTCATGCAGATCCAATCATAAGTTAAGAAGCACCATCAAAGCTCTACTTAAAGGGCTAGAAAAAAATAAATAACCATCTCATATGGTGAAGGCCAGAGGGCACTGGCAGCAATGAGCTCTCTGTCATTGCTTCTCTTATACCGGACTCTAAGCTCCTGCTGATACGATGAAAGAGGGCAAAGCTGGAGCATGACTTCACAGCACTAATATGTCTCAAAGAAGCAGGCTGTTTGTTTTACAATCAGATAAAAATCTTTATAAGGAGAAGTGACCCAGCCACTGAGATCACATTGCAAATTCTATTTCAGATTTCTGAAATTATGAATTCTGTAGTCTTTTGAGATACGCAACCGCCTGATTGGTGGGTGCTGCTCGGAAGACAAAAACGGTGACGCACAGCGACCTAGGTAATTGCATTCCATGAGATCATGTTTCACTTCTGAACCTTATTCTTCTGGAGCAGCTCAATTTTAGACACGTATTTTTCCTGTTATTTCCCAAAGCGGTTTCTCTGAAGACCAGAGAAAGATCTGAAGAGTAAGTTCTGAAGCTGAGCCTTAAGAGGGACTCTTAAAGGCATTTTCTCAGAAACAACCTAAATGAGATAATTTACAACAGGGAAAAACACATGGTCCTTAAATTCTGCTCTTGAGGTACAGGATTCCCATGGCTGCCCTAAGATGTGTACGCGTGTATGTGAAGGCACAATTGGGATCAAGCTAAAATCTTGGTGAGAATTTCCTGAAAGGGAGGGAAAATAGCAGATTCCACGCTCTCTCTCTCTCCTGGATCTAGCTTTATGCCAAAAGTTTTCCAGAATATATTGACTAACATTTAGGTCTACTCTATCTTAAAGGTTGAGGCTTGTGCCATCTTGGCATGCTTTAGGATTCTGGAGAGGAGCCAAAAGTCCATTTTTTTTCACTCAACTAACGCTGATCGAGAATGTACCAGGTGCTAAGTGATGGAAATGCAAAGAAGTATAACATCTGCCCTTGGGAAGTCACAGTCCCAGGAATGAGCAGCCTGAGAGATGTCAGTAAAACAAGCGACCCCAACGGGTCCTCACAGTTGATGCACAGGCTGTAACACAGTATAAAGAAAGATCCATCGAAACTAGTTTTAAAAAAAAAAATAAGCTTTCACATAAGTTGCATCTCATACCTATAGCCAATATATGCCATTAAATTCAAATAACTACTATTTTCTAGATCTCCTTTTTCATTCCTCTATATTAATTATTTAGAACTCTGGTTTCCTGAGGTCCTTTTGTCATTTTAACATAATGCCTGGCAATGTGTGCTTTCTCTCCCCTAAACTTAGCCGTAAAGATGCTGTGCCTGGTCTGTGAAATACATCTTTGGGGATTAATTGTACACGAATTACCCGTAACTCTTGTGAACACAAAGTTTTGAACCGGTTTTACGACTCAACAAATCTGCCTAGTGTGATATAATCTGTTAAGCTTGAGATACATCCAGATAGATGAGGCGGAGCTGCCTTCATTAAAAATGTTCAAAGAGAAATATGAATGCAAAATAACAAAACCTTAATGTGAATCAAAGAGCTTTCTTTTATCAGTGAGGTTTGGGTACTGAAGTTGACAATGGTTTGGCGGGAGATGTGCAATTTCTATAGCCTGAGAAGGGGCAACACGTGCTCTGGTAAAGACCATTGGTATTGATTTCATGAAGATCCTATGAACCACTCATTGCAGGAGCCATTTCTCCCAAGTAATATCTCTATATTTTCTAAGCTTTGCTCTCTTTATTTCTTTAAAGTTAGTCATTTCCCCAGCAACCTTGGTTTAAAAAAAAATAATAAGTCAACATAATGAAAAAGTTTTTTTAAGGTAAATAGACATGTTTTCCCTCGTAATTCCCAGCCTCTGTGAAACAGTCATAGATTTCACAATGTAGTTTTCAAATACCATCAGTCACTAGAATGATTATATTAATGTTTCCTAAAATTTTCTTAAGGCCACATTTGTGGGACCATGTTTAATGTAAGATCACCTTATAAATAATTACAGGAGAAGTTTAGCCCCCTTGAAAGGACCCAAGGAAGAGCTACATTTTGTTGACTTCTTCTCTAGAGCAAGAGCTCTTCCAGTGAGCTTTCATCATGTGGATTTATGGTTTGGAGCCAATTACTTGATTTTTTAAAATTGCATTCTGTTTATTGGTACTCTGCTTCATTTCAAAAAGATTTGAGGTGGCTATTAAAATACACATAATACCAGAAAAAATCAAGTGAGGAGCTTGGGGCAAATAGAAATAAAGGATAAGACAAAGCTAAAAGTGTGTCTGGTGCTCAAATGCAGAATCTTGACATGCATTGCTAAATTTGCCAATGAGGGGACAACTTGAAAAATAATGGAATTGTTGGTAGTGACAGGAAGAAGTACTCCTGAATGATAAGAACATATCTTGCCCCATGAGGGCAGAGAATTGTGATAGCATAGATCATTGGAACCCACAGATGAGCTTCAGACCTAGATTTTACCAACTACCAGTGCCTGGCATATAGTAGATGTTCAATAAATATCTGATGATTGGATGAATGAGTGAATGGAAAATGAAATATCATTTATTCAACAATTTTTTGTGGAGGGTCTAAAGTGTGCTATGGCATAAGAAATAGGGGAAATAGGATATATAACAAGAACAATAGCGAAGGTAGCAGGTGAGATCAGGGAGTTACATGCGGCAGAGGTTCAAATATGGAAAAGGCCTCCTTCCATTGAAAGATGATAGAGAATGGAGCCTTTGTGCTTGTGGAAAGGATGGAATTCTGCCAGGTAGAAATGGGGGAAAGGCTTGTCAGGTGAAGGATCAGCATGAGTAAGGTAGAGGCTGTGGCTGACGCTGTCTCCTGACTAATAATTTGTACTGTGCCTCCTTTAAGGGAAAGCAAGAAGCTAGTTTGACAGGGGCTTATGATTTATATATAGAAAGTGAGAAAGAATGCTGAGAAGGCAGGTTAGGGCTCACTCAGAGATCGGCTTGAATGTCGAGCTGAGCCGGCTGGCTCTCCTGGGGTGGGGAGGACACAGGAAAATGATGAAAGTGTGATTCAGGAAAGGGTGGACTTCAAGAGGCTGGGCAGTGGCTTCATCTGCCTACACAAGGAGCTAACCAGTCACACACGCACTCCAAGTTGATTTAACATATTAAAAGGAAAAAATATCCCTACTTAATGCAATGTATGATTCTGCCTTTGAGTCCCATGTCTGATTTCATTATTAACCCAGGGGAAGTATAGTCATTTAACACGCGGACAGACAACACAAACAAAGATATTTGCAGCCACACTGAAATTTTCAACGAGTTTAAACAACCAAACCTAACAACTTTTTATATCTAACTAATCTAAACACGGAAACCTCAGCTCAAAATTTTACTCGGCTTGAGTTAAAGGACACATTGAACTAGTGCAAGGAATTAAATGACAGAATTAGGTTAAGAATCCATTTCTACTCCTTAGTAACAAACTAATAGCTAATCAAATGTCTACGGAATGGTCATGATGAGCCTGGTTAAGTAAACAGGAAAAAATGTTGAATTTAATGATCCATTTTTCTCTAGAACCCATGGGTCCATCAGGATATAAATCTAGCAACTATTGAGGGGAAAAAAAAAAACTCCTTTAAAGAAATGTCTTTCCCCTGTTCTCCTGAAAAGGGTTGATAAACTTGACCTCCTTTACATTACATTTGTTGGAAGTCTACCTACCAAGGGGCTGCCTCCTCTCTGCATTCTAAATAGAAGCTACAGGAGTTTGAGAATCAGCCTAAAAGACTGGAGGAAATTGCTGTCCCCTCTCCCACCGGTTTTACCGGAGACCTGAGACGTCAGTGGAAGTCTGCTGAGGGTCAGCCACAGGTTTACCTAATTTAGTATCTCAGATTAGAATGTCTTTTTGGGTGGAGAAGTCAGAAATCAGGAAATGTGTCTGAAGCCAGAATTGAGGTCAGCTCACTGAGTCCAGGCGGCCGTTAACAGTCCACTGGGATTTCAGCCTTGGGGCTAGTGAGCAGTCTAGGGATGGCCTTAATTTGTCACACTGGTGGGGAAGTGGGGAGCAAAGGAAACGCACACTCCACAGTTAGCACTCTAGGGCTGCATGGCAAGCCCCCATTTCCGTGCTATTTGGAACAAGACTAGTGAAGGAGAGTGTTTCTATCCAAAATTTTCACAAAGCCTCGGTTTCTCCTGTGTGCATGTCCCTCTCTGAGGCTGAGGAGCCATTTGTCTACAGGGCCCCTTTGGAGTCCCTAGGAGAGAGAGGCGCTAGCTGGTAACCAGTGGTGGCCTGGCTGTGAAAGAACCAATACTGGTAAACAATGCACAAGTGCAGAAAAAAGCATCCCCAACCCCGAGCTCCACCACAAGCGGGAGCCAGGCCACTGCTTCACCAAGGAGTTCTCATTGTAATTCTGAATCGGAACGGTGATGGGCAGCAAAAAGTCCCTTTTGTGTACAGAATTGTTAGTCCTGGGTCTACTTTCATTTTCTCTAAGACTTTAGAGGACAGGCTGTTGTAATTTTTCCCCTCCTCAGGAGCAACTTCCTTTCTAAAATGCCTTTCTCTTCTTGCTCGGCTTGAATAACACACGTCTCATTCTGAAATACCTAAGCAGTTGCTTTTTGCCAAAACTACTTCTTTAAGAAAATGTTCCTTTTTTTCTTTTTTTAGTACTTAAAGCCCAAAAGGGATTGGTGGAAGTTTCGAAGCCCATCAAAAGTGAACAGATATTCTGTATTCTGCAGTATCAACTAAAAGAGTGTTGAGACTCAGTGAACAGTATTCCACATGCATGATCTACAGAATTCATACAGGACTATCACAAGGGCAGCTGCGGGCTTGACGTCTTCTGAAAGCAGGCAGCACTAACTTCCTGCTCTGGGAGAACATTTAGTGCATTTGGGCACAATAAGGAAAGAAAATGGCTTTTATTAAGACTAGGAAACAGGAGCAGCCTGGATGTTTTCACTAGTGCTTTGTCTCTGTGCTTTTTTTTTTTCTAGTACACTTTCTTGACATTCACGTTGGTGACACTGGCTAAAGGGGATTGTGGGTCATGTGAATTTCCCAGGAAGCGCAGACTTTGAAGGATTGCATTCATTCTGATGTGGGGATGAGGAGACGAGACTGGTCCTTACACGTCTCTTGGCAGTTACCAATACACTTGTCTCACTCACTCATGCTCCCAAAGGCAAGACTCTACACTGGGAATCATAAACCCTCGCTCTCCAAAGCAAAGACACTGTTGATGCTACCATGGCGCATAAATACCTCAACTGTCTGGGCTGATAGAAGGGGCTGCGGGTTTTTAAGAGAGCGGCTATTGTCCTCATGCCATGTAGTTACACCATCTAATGACGGGACTCCACATTCTAGCTTTTCTCACTGTGGTAAAGAAACGCTACTGTTTAATTCCTATCCAAAGTTATAACCATGGCTTGTAAATTTGACTAACTTGTTTCGTTCTCGTTTGGTCCTTGAGAAGTACAACTTGCTTTTGCGGATGGTAATTTCTGGTGTCGTTCTCTGCTTTTTTTTTTTTTTTTGGTATGAAATTGCTGTATTTGCTGAAGTTTGTCCGTTTTGTGGTTTTTAATTCCCATTGGTGCACTGTACAATGGGATGTTGTAGTATATTATGAAGAAGAAATAATGTGCAGATATGTTATGGAGTGTGTTTTATTTTAAAATGACTGTGGTGTTGAGAATATATTGATTTATCAAGATACTAAGGGAAAATTCTAAATTTACCAAAATGTGTATATTTTAATAAATGTATAAAGCTTTATTGTGTGCCTTTAAATTTAAAATGGGGTGTATAAAGAAAGTCAGAAACAAAAGTGTCTTACAATAAAATATCCATAGTAATGGAAAGCTTTTACACAGGAGACTACCACAGGAAAAAAAAAGAAAAAGAAGCTTGCCCGTATTTTGTTAACCTTAACCAGTACCTGAAGTCTCATACTTTCTTTCCATTCTAAAATGGAGAGGAACAAGTGAATCTTGCCTTAAATGTTTCAATTGTCCTTTGTAGAAAAGCCAGATAAATGAGCTCGTTATTTTGAAACTAATTGCATTATTGTGGAAAATTTGTTTTCAGAATAAAAATATTTTAAAAATTGCAGCTAACCGACTATTAAAATTTAAATTTGAAGAAAGTCAGTGCCATCCACCTTTTAAAACTCACTTTACTTCCAATAGGAGAACTAAAAGTTCCATTTTAGTGGACTCGTGGGAGAATGTGAAGCGATTCAGTCTCCCTCTCGCCATTTTCTTCTATCTGGGCCCCTGCTCACTACGCTGCCTCCTTAACTACTGCATTCCCAGTACCAGTGCTCAGTGACAGCCACAGCCTGCTCCAACCTCAGCACTACCAAGCATTTGACTCACTGCCCCCATTCATTTTAAGGACAAACTGGAGGACCATTACATGCCTATGGTTCCTAACCCAATTACAATAGCATTAGTGGTGGTTTAATTTATTTTACTTTTCAATGGTACAGGAAGTGATACCTGGAGAAAAGGTAGAGTCGTGTAGCAGGGTCACATATTTCCCACACTACACAAGATGCAAAGAAACCGCCATGTCTTTATTTCCTGTAACTCATGGCCCTCCCTGGCAGAGGCCCACCTGCCTGGGTAGCAGGAAAGAAACAAAAACTGTGAATGTACTAATTTACGGAATCCCAGTTGTCTCCCTTTTAGTCTCTTTTGAGATGATTGAGTCTCCTTGGGATAAAGGCTCAGTCTGTTGGACTTCCTCCCCTCTCCCTTGCTTCTCTCCCAAATGGCATCTGGTAACAGAGCCTGTATGATCTCATAAGGAGAGGGGACATTGGGATGCAGGTGAGAACCAAGTGCTCTGGACCCTTAACGGATGCTGCTGCAGAATGGTTCCCTGGACGGCTCCCCGGACGAGTGACCACAAAGAAGGACTGGCCTGTCTAGCCATATGGCTTCATGATCACATTCACTTGCAAAACCCACAGGTCTAGCATTTAACTCCAGTTGTGAAGTTTCTGCACGTTGACGCATCTTCGTTTGCACTCCAGGCCTTTGCTGGTCCACTGAGCCTTCAGCACTTCAACATTAGAACCCACTGCATCCCTGCCCCTCGAGACCTGGGGAACCAAGAACATCACCCCGGGCTCAAGCATCCATCCACCTCCTTCACTAACGATACACTATCATTTCCGGGCTCTGCTTGCTGTGGCGCGTAGTCAGTGACGTTCTACAGCCTGCTCGTGAGAACGATTGTTAACTTTCCATGAGTTCTAGGAGTCAGTTGCTAAACACATCCACTATTAAAACTTGACTTCTATAACCTTACAACTAATTATATTGAAAACAAAGGTAATAAGTACTTGAAACTATTTTACTATATTTAACTGTTAGGTATGCTCTTGCGGTTATTTACAGCTATTCTGTCTGTGTGAGGGAAATACTATACGATGATGTGCTACTGCACGTCTCTCCCCAACTCTAAGCTCAGTGGGTTCACAGCGGTAGCTTGCAATCAGCCGTGGTGGGAGTATTTACACCATGCAAACTGGCAAATGCTACAAACTCAGGGTTGGTTGGTGTTTTCCACAGAGCTGTCTAGTAAACATTTACCAGCACACCACTGCTTATATCCTTTCCAGCTCGGTATGCCACTACTCATCCAATGCTTCAGGCTTTCTCACTCCTACCACAGCCCCACCCTTGGAGGGGGAAAAGCCTGGACAGGTATTTTTTCCCTCTCTGTCCTACCTCTGTTTCTCTTCCTCTCCCCACCATGCCGCAGGACAAGCTGGGGCTGGCTTTCCACTTTTCATTCACTCTGACAGAGATTCCCCCTACACGTTAGCCGCCTTCCTGGGGACAATAAGCCTCATAAATCAGTCTCACTGATGGAAGGATTACCCATTTGCGTATTTACAAATAGAAGAGTCACAGGGTTACTTGGAACTAGAGATTACTAGCACCAAAAATAATTGAGTCAATATTCCAAAATACAACCTCATTACATGGACCTTAAAATTCAGAGGTTGTTTAATAACAAGTGTTGCCAAAGACACAGAGAAATTGGAAAACTTGTGCACTGTTAGTGGTAATGCAAAATGGTGCCACCACTGTGGAAAACAGTATGGCAACTGCCCAAAAACTTAAAAATAGAATTACCATATGCTCCAACAATTCCATTTCTGGGTACATATCCAAAAGAATTAGAAGGAGGGTCTCAAAGATATTTGTTCATGGCAGCATTATTCACAATGGCTAAAACATGGAAGCACCCAAGTGTCCATCAATGGATAAATGCATAAAGAAAATGTGGTATATACATACAATGGAATATTGTTCAGTCTTAAAAAGGAAGGAGGGGCTCGCCCCATGGCGTAGTGGTTAAAGTTCAGTGCGCTCTACTTCAGCAGCCCAGGTTCACGGGTTAGGATCCCAACACAGACCTACGCCACTCATCAGCCATGCTGTGGCAGCAACTCACATATAAAGTAGAGGAAGATTGGCATGGATGTTAGCTCAGGGCTAATCTTCCTCAGTTAAAAAAAAAATGGAAGGAAATTCTGATACATGCTACAATATGGATGAATTTTTAGGACATTTCGCTAAGTGAAATAAGCCCATCAAAAAAGACACATACTTTATGACTTCACTTATATGAGATACCTAGAGTAGCCAAAATCGTAGAGATAGTAAGAAGAACGTGGTTGCCAGAGGCTTGGGAAAGGGACAATGGGGGTTATTGTTTCACACATGTAGAGTTTCAGTTTTGTAAAATGAAAGAGTTCAGGAGAGGATGGTGCTAATGGTTGCACAACAATATAAGTGTGCTTAGTGCTACTGAACCATACACTTAAAAACAGTTGAGATGGCAAATTTTATATTGTGTATATTTTACCACAATTTTAAAAACTGAAAAAAAGTTTTAAAGTTATTCAGAGCATCAAAGCTGCTTTACCAGCATCTTCTCCTTAGGTCATAACTCAAAATCACTTTAAAAATTAAATACTCTATTAGAAATTTAAGAGATCCCCATATTCTAACATTAAATTGACAGCCCTTCTTCATTTTTTTTTTGACTGGCAATGAGAGTCCTTCCCGTGTCACGTTCCCTTCCTCTCCTTCGCCCACATGCGTCTCTTCCCCCACCCGAGGATGGGTTCTTTCTGATCTCCCGTTGGCCTCAATCAATTCAAAACAACTCCAAGCTATGAGCTCAGAGAGAAAACCACACACCCCCATTTCTATGACCTAGAAGTCTGAATTCTCTAAGCTTTTATTACATGTATGTGTAAGCCTCATGCTTACCCATCAGAGCCTTTTAGAGTGTTTTCAGGAAGGGATGAGCTCGCTATAAGTCAATTAACTGGATGAGTAAGTACTGTGGCCGACTTTCCTTCAGGGAAGGGAAATACAAATGATGTGTGACTCTAATTAACTTCAAACACAGCAACAGGAATACAATTTGGAACAGAATCCAAAGAGGAAATAGTCCATCCAAATTCAATTCTGGTGGCTGGAAGACTATGATTGAATTTCCTTCCCAGTGGAGACACTCCTCACAGAGTGAGGTGAGGAGGGGAAGGGGGTTTCCTAGCAATGGGATTTCCCTGATCTTAGAAGCTCTCTGTCCAAAGCAGCCCCTTTAAGGTACTGGCAACAAGTTCAGGGTGTGGATACAATGTCCTCGACTTTCTCCCCAGCCTTACCAATCTTGTGCAAGAAAGTGGACACTGGATAAACCAACCACAGCCAACCGGGCATGAGAAGACGTGCTGTGAGCCTTGAGGACCAGTGGAGGAAGGGCACCTCTGCCCTATCTGCCCCCTGATGCCCAAAATGCCTCCACTGGAAACAAAGTCTGCCATTCCCAATAACAAAGAGATCCTTAAATGCCTTCACAGTTAACTCCTCCTGGAAGAAGGAACACATTGTTTTCACTCATCCACATGGAGATATGAACGACTGATAGCAGTTCCTTCTCAGAAAGCAGGTTTTTGCAAGTCACAAGAAAGGATTAGGAGGTCCCAGGATGCCTGAGAGGGGGTTGGGGGACTCCAGGAGGGGAAAGGGACACAAAGACACACTTGGCCCCATTCCCTTTACAACCTCACACAGAGTTGGAGGTAAATACAAAGAGGGCGCAAGACACCATACACCTGACCTGAAGTGATGCCTCCAGGACCACTCTGAGGGGAGAGATGGATGGCGGCCTGCAAAGAGGCTTGAACCGTAAGAGAGAAACCCATCTTCCCACTGGGGCTCTCCATAACTGGGTTTGTCAATGCAGGCAAGCCTCTTCCCCTGTTCCCTCACTTGCAAACAAGAAGTGGATCCACGATTCCTAACTTTCCGGATCACTGCCGTGGGGGTGGTGAACACATCTCTCTTGCTTCCAGCTGCACCTCAGTGCCTAGTGTAGAGCCCGGGATGCAGGAGGCATTTAATGAATATTTGCTGAAGGAATGAATGAATAGAAGTTAAGTTCTCCTCTTCATTCAGAGGCCCTCCCCCTGCTTTTGCCAAAGTGGAGAACCATTTCAATCACTCTACGTAAATATTCGACAGTTCACCTCTGACAGATTTCGGATCCCTTGAATCACTTTTAGAATTGATCCTAGAAAAATAAATAATCAGAGATATGATCAGAGGTTTACGCCAAAGGATATATCTACAACTACAGGAAAAAAATAGCAGAAAAACTGAAATCAGTGTCCCAAACTGGAGTTTGTTTACATACGTGATAGTGTAACTGTGGAACTCAGAACGATACAGCGTCGAAAAGTATCTTTCCAAAGAATGTTTCCTGACAGGGTAATCTTCATTAATTATGTTGAATTTTAAAAGTAGGATGCAAAGATTATTAATAGTATGTCTTTAGTCTTGAAAATAAATGTATTCTATATATGTATAGAAAAAGATTTAAAAGGACATTATATAATGTGTTAACCATTGCTGCCTCTGAGAAGTCTGATTTGGGGTGGTTTTGTATTTTCTTTTTTATACTTTTTTTTCCAAATGTGCTTCAAAATATATTTTACTTCTATAACCTAAAGTGTAATTAATTTTTACTTCCTACGACATAAGGGCTTTTTCAGATATTTGCTGTGGCCTAAATGGC